GAAAATGACCATCCTACCAAAAGTCATTTATAGATTCAATGCAATGCCAATCAAAATCCCCATGACATTTTTCACAGAATTGGGAAAAACAATCCTAAGATTCATACAGAAGCACAAAAGACTTCAGATAGCCAAAACAACCCTGAGCACTAAGAGCAATGTGGGGGGATTACTCTACCAGATTTTAAGCTGTATTACAGAGCTATAGTCATTAAAAGAACATGGTAGTAGCACAAAAATAGACCTATAGATCAATGGAACAAAATTGAAGACCTAAATATGAATAAATGAAATTTCAGCCACCTGATATTTGACAAAGGGGCCAGGAATATTCACTGGAGGAAAGGTAGCATGTTCAGCAAATGTTGCTGGCAAAACTGGATCTCCATTTGTTAGAAGAATGAAACTAAACCCCTATCTTTCACCCTGCTCAAAAATCAATTCCAAATGGATCAAAGACCTCAATGTAAAGCCTGAAACTCTGAAACTGTTAGAAGAAAACATTGGCAAAAACCTAAAAGATAAGTGTAGGAAAGGACTTTCTAAACCGGACACCAATAGCCCAGGAAACAAGGGCAAAAATTAACAAGTTGGACCTCATTAAACTAAAAAGCTTCTGTACATCAAAGGAGGCAACCAAGGAAGCAAACAGAAAACCCAGAGAATGGGAGAAAATCTTCACCAGTGACACAGCCAACAGAGGTTTAATAACCAGAATATATAACGAACTCAAAAAACAGGGAACCAAGACAAGAAGCAACCCAATTAATAGATGGGCTAAGGAGCTGAACAGAAAGTTCTCAAAAGAAGAAGTAAAGATGGCTATGAATCATCTTAAAAGATGTTCAACATCACTAATAATTAAGGAAATTCAAATTAAAACCACTTTAAGATTTCATCTTACTGGCTAAGATCAAGAGAACAAATGATACCAAATGTTGGAGAGAATGTCGGGAAAGGGGAACACTCATCCACTGCTGGTGGGGCTGCAAACTTGTTTGACCCCTATGGAAAGCAG